GCACCAACTGGATATGCATCACCTTCACTTGCTTTTACTAAAAAAAAGAATAAAAGATATGAATATATAGAAAACAATAAAATAACAACAATAAAAAAACACAATCGAACCGGGATTTTTTGGTATTTCACCAGATGTTTTAACAAGATCACCAACTTTAAGATTTTCAGTAGCTAATATATATCGAGGAGTATTACCATGTCCAATTAAAGCAACTTTAGCTGTATGACAATCACTATTCATAATACGAATAACACGTTCAACTAATGGTGGACCACTTTTTGGTCCTTGTCTCATAGTATCGATCCATAACCAAGTCTTTTTTAAACCACCACCTACTCGACGATATTCTTTTCGACCTGAAAGCAAAAAATCAAACAATTTTATATATAATTTTATTTAATGTTTTAAATTAAAATTCTTTTTTTTTTATTTACCAGTATCAGGATGATTTCCACCAGTTTTCCGTGTTTCAAATGGTTTAACTGTATATTTTTCTGGCATTTTAGGTATTATAATTCTATGATCATAATAAAAACCACTTTCACGATGTTCACGAAAATTATCAATTATATATTGTGAACTCATAGCAACTGGCATTTCAATTACATTTGCTTTCCATGGAACTTTTACATCAGTTGTTTTAGTTATATCTGACGATTGTGAATCAGATTTTGTTGAATTATCATCAACTTTTCGTGTTTCAATTGATGGGGATGTCGTGTTAGTTGTCGTTGAACTAGAATGATTAAAATAAGAAAAAACTTAGATGATAAATAATGTTTGTAGGAATTAATACCGAGATAAAAAACCAAGGATTGATGTTAAATCTCGTTGAAGTACTCGAGCAACATTATTTCGAATTATTGAATACATCTTAAAGAATTCATATAGAAAATAATTTCGACGTATTCTTTCATTCATTCATTCTTTTCTTTTACTATTCTAATTCGCAAATGAAATAACCAATCAACAATTGAAACAATTCATGGATATTATAGGCGATATATATGCATGCTATACTGTTGATGTATACAACTAAAATCTATTCCTTTCACATATACAACCTTGTTTTTTTCCTCATTTTTTAATTCAAATTGAACCAAATGAATAACATATTAAATAAGATTATGTAAGAAGTATCATTATTTCGTATATAAATGTGAGTAATCCACGAGTTAAAGTTATATTAATTGCTGATAATAGAGATCAATGAGGACGTGGCAGCGGAATAACATTAAGTGAACAACAACTGGCTCATCCAAAAACAAATTGTTTTATGGTGTAGTAGAATTCGAACAACAAGATGATACTATTGTTATTATACGAAAAATTGAAGGACTTGGTGAAAATACACAACATGGTTTTCGTATTCATGAATTTGCTAATGTTAGCAATGTAAGTTGATTATTAATTATGTCAAATATATACATATGATTTTATACATCAGCTGGTGTCCATTTTTATCCAACATGCTGAGTCAGACAATACTGATCGATGAGATTAATTTTAAAAATCAACTTCTATTTTATTTTCATTTTTTTTTTATTCAAACATGTTGGTGATTTAGGAAATGTTCAAGCTGATGAAAATGGTATAGTAATGGTGAATATAAAAGATGAACTTTTTTCAATTAATGATGAACATTTAGGTCGAGGTGATTCTTCGGAATCAAAAAAGACAGGCAATGTTGGAAAGTATTCAGTTTGTGATATTATTGATAATATCAATTCAGAAAAAATAAATAAATCTATTGAAGAAAATTTATTTTTATCTTATGAATCTTGATTAGTCTGTCAGATACTTTCTAACTTCTGTTTTAGTAAATATACATGGAAAATTAAACATTCATTTTATGTATGTGTGTATATTTTTTTTTTCTTGTAATTTCAAAAGAGAATACAATCAAACATCTTACATTTTATTTTATTTATCTTTACATAGATTGCATCTTCATTTTAGACAGGACCAGAAATATGTTGTTTTTTCTTTGAGTATGGTAAAATGTGGATTTCTAAATATGTAATCGATTTTCGGATTTATATCAAGAAGAATATATGGATGTCGTGTAAATACAAGCAATGTATTTACTTCATAGGGTTATTTAGAAAAATATTGCATCATATACTATTATCATATTTCATCATTCAGTCTATTGAATTAATATTCATTCTTCTAGTCATTTAAAAAAATATAGCTTGTCTGTTGTTTTTTTTTTCAGATATGGTTAAACCGACAAATATAAATTCTGATTATCGTGAAGAAGAACGATTAACATGTGTACTTGTACTTGATACATTTAATAATTACACAAATGAAATCGTTTCTCATACATCACTTCCATTATGTTTATGGCCTGTTGATGGTCGACCATTACTTGATTATACTATTCATACATTAATACGATCAGGTATACAAGAAATTATTTTATTAGCAACATCATATTCATATGAAATTCGTTCATATATAATGAATAGTCATTGGTTACAAACATATCCAAAATTAATTCGATTTATTCCTTGTAAAGAAGCACGTTCACTTGGTGATTGTTTAAAAGATCTTGAACAAGAAAATATAATAAATAATCATTTTATATTATTATATGGTAACGGTACATTAATAACAAATGAAAAATTAAATAATTTATTTAATATTCATAAAGAAAATATAAAAAAAGATAAAAATTGTATAATGACACTTGTTTATCGTCAATTAGATTCAAATCATTTTGAACATCCATCATATACCGATGATCAACATTTATGTATTATACGTGATGCTAATACATATCGTTTATATGATTATTCAACAGAATATCTTGATAGATATGAAATATCACTTGATTTATTAGAAAAACCAAATGTCACTATTGAAACATTATATTGTCCATTAGATTGTCATGTAGCAGTTTGTTCACCTGATGTTTTACATTTATTTAAAGATAATTTTGATTATTCAACAATTAATGAATTCGTTAAAGGTAAATATAATGGTACAGAAATAGAGTTTAACATTTAAATATAAGTAATTTGTTTTTTTTGGATTGTCTGTAAACAAAAAACAAATGTTTCTGTTTAGACTTCAATTTGCAATTTCACTTTAATTTTTCATTCGAGTCCCCAATAATATTATTATTTCTCGCTTCTTATTTGGCTTTATGTTTGTATATAAAAGAGAGACGTCCATCGCAATCCTAGAAGAAATAAGGCTGCCACGGCCCTGACGCTGTCACGAACATCTTTACTACAAAAGTTGCTTTTACTATAGTCAAACTTTAAAATGTTTAAACGTTATCAATAATTTCGAATAGCATGAAAGATGAATGTATGTTTAAAAAAGAAACATTTTGTGAAACTCATATCTATTTTCGAAGAAAATATTGAGTGTAAGTTTTAAATCGAAGTCTTGTGGCTCTCCACCTCCTCATTACAGACTTTAGTCACTGAGGACAACAGGTGTTAGACTCTTTCTTCAGAGTTCCTTAACCATTAAAAAACCGATGCTTAACGACAAGACTTAGACAATTCTATAACATTCCGAAGTCTTTCTCGAAATTTGAATGACTGGAATACGTTTGTGAATGTTTGAAATAGTACTATTTTTTTGTTTTTACTCAAATAAAAATTTATATTTAAGATGTCGAGGATGACGGTTAGTAATGCATTGATTTGCCACAATCATCATATGATTAACATAAAAAGTATGAACTGATCAAGTTATAACTTTAGAAAATAATCAATATCAATGTTTGTGAGCTTATCGAGATATATAGTTATGAAGATCGATAGGAATGTTAAACTAAATTCTTTTGCAGAAGCTTGAAATATTAGAATAATCTCTATGGATAATAAAAAAAATTAGAAAGTCTCTATTGACATCAGTTTCGTTTCTAGATAAATCTTTTATTGTAATATTTATTTATTTTTAATAGGTATTGTACGTGATGAAGAAATAGCTGGTCATACAATATATTCATATTTATATGAAACAGGCTATTTTCTTTCCGTACATAATTTACGTTTATATATGAAAGCAACATTTGATATTCTTCGTCGATGGTCATATCCACTTGTACCTGAAATAATAGCATCAATGCATAAACAACAATTATCAACAATTACAAATCCAACCTTACCTCAAATAAAATTAAATGATTCATATTTATCATTTTATAATATATGTTATCCAATAATTTATGATAAACATAATATATATAAACAAGGTGATATACAATTAGATCGTTTATCAAATATTCAACAAGATGTTTTTATTGGTTATAAAAGTCAAATTTTATCTGGTGTATGTTTACGTTCATCACTTATAGGACAAAGTTGTATTATCGGTAAAAATACAAAAATTGAAAATTCAATTATATGGAATCATGTACAAATAGGTGAAAATTGTATTATTAAAAATTCTATCATATGTGATAATGTAGTTATTCGTAATAATGTACAAATTGATAAAGAATGTATACTTTGTAAAAATGTTATTATTGGTACAAATGTTCATTTAAATCAACATATGACTATAATTGCATCGAATTCTATAACATCAACAAATGTAGTAGATGAAATTGAAATTGATGAGGATATTTCAGCACCATTAAAAAATGTTAAACGTTCAAATTCTAAACAAAGATCTAGTTCAACAATGTCATCAGAAAAATCTGTTTCAGAAAAATCTATTAGTTTAAGTATTGAAGAAACTATAACATCAAATAGTGATTTAGTTGGTATTGATGGTTTCGGTAGACAACTTAGTTTTATTTCTACACATGATGATCAAACAAAACCTATAGAACATACAGATGATGATGATGATGATATTAATGATAATGATAAAAGTCAATTAAATGCATTTGATGCATGGGGTTATCGTATAGAACCTATAGAAAATCGAGATTTATCACATGATGATGAGGATAATGAGATTAAACCTAAACAATATCGTTTATCTAATTTAAAAAAACCTTCGGATCAACCATCAGATATTCAATCGGAAGATGAAAACTCAGAAATTGATGATAGTGAAGATCCATCATCCGAAACTGGTTCAATAAATGAAACGAATGATGTTAGTGAATTTCAACAAGAAGTTATTCGTACATTAGAACGTGCTTATAGACAAAAACTTCATATGGAAAATATTATTGTTGAATTAAATATGTTAAAACCAACATATGATGTATCACCAACAGAATTTGATCGATCAATAGTACGTGCTGTATTTTTATTACCATTTGAAAAGAAAATATCAAATTCAGAAACAACAAATTATTGGAATTCATTAAAATTAACTATGGATCAAATAACACAATTTATATTAAAAAATTATATGAAAATAACAAATGAACAATCACAAATATCATTATTAAATGGATTAGATTCAATTTGTTTAAAACATATTCAACCAATTGGTGAACGTATTGTTAATATATTAAATTACTTATATGAAAATGATGTTATTGATGAACAATGGATTCTTCAATGGTATGAAAATAAACAAGAAAAAATTGAAAATAATGAATTAATAATAAAACCAGAAGAAAAAATTTACTATGATAAACTTAAACAATTTGTTGAATGGTTACAAAATGCTGAAAGTGAAGATGATGATCAAGACGATGAAGATTAGAAACATATATATTTCAAGTTTATTAATAGCATTTTTTGAAAAAAAAAATAAACAAGGTTTTAAATATAGTTTTCAACTAGAAAATGTTCATCACTACTATCTATTTTAAACATATAATGCGTTCTACTGTATTTTCGAATAAATTTTGATAGGAACATGATACAGACCTGAGGTTCTCGTCATTCAAGAGAGAAGATCCGAAGCGATCGAATCATATCTAAAGTTAATTGGTCAGTTATTGACATATCAGATATGGTCTTGGTGGATACTTTCAAAAAAAAGGAGATTTAGAGGGTATTTCCCTTCCAGTTTAGACTTTTCATAGGAATAATCGATCGAAAAAGTTCTTCTCTTTTGATCTACATAAGGCCGGCATTCCTAGCTTGTTCCGTTCGATAGTTATAAAACTTTTCTAAGACCACCGATTTCAGCCAATTGACTTCTCATCATTCGATTCTGTTATTTCAATATTTCTAAATGTTCACTCCTTTGTTATATGAAGACTGATTGTAGAGCCGCAGAAATACTCCGATAACAGTGTCAAATCATTTCGAACCTAAAGACAAATATTACCATTCGATTCAGCATGATGAATAACCCCTACCTAGCTGTTATTTCGAGTGATCACGGGCGATAACCCTAGGTCTTCTCTCTTGATTGGTGAAAATCGTAGGTCTCTATGATATTCACGTCAAAATTTATTACAAAAAAAAACAATAGAGAACATTATATTTTGAAATAGATTGCCGAAACATATTCTTTTCTATTGTCTATAAAAATACCTTCTTACTTCTATTGGGTGACACTCTTTAATCCCATAGATTACTTTTAAATTGTTATTAGATTGAAAAAAGAAAACAAGACTCATTTTCTAGTATGGTGAATATGATTAATCACTAATGACATGTGACAAACTAACTAACAAAATATTGAATGAAACAAATATAATTTAAGAATTTTTCAAGTGAAAGCATGATCTTCTTTTTTATTTCAAATGTCTTAATAAAAATAAACTTCTTGAATATATAATCACTGCATAATAATAGAAATAGGTTAACATCCGCACAGAAGTATTGTTTATTCTTTGTTAGTATCATGATACTTTTGTGCATCTGCAATTGTATAGCATCCTATAAACAGAGTATTCATCATTGAATATAATAATGATACGCTATGTTTTTTTTTCTTACTAGTATCATTGGATTCAATTAAATGAAGTTGAAATTTAAATAAAGTCTTGATAATTTCTTCTTCACCACCCTATTATACATAAAGATACCTTTGAATCAATCTGAATTTATATATACACATATATAGAAACTTACTTGCGTATGTTGAAGTAATTCTTTAGCACGTTGAAGTTCTCCTGTGCGGCGCAATGCATCAGCTTCGATACATCGATCGAGACCGAGCTGTTTACTAAATTCGAGATTAGCTGAACGAGAATCATCGATCAATTTAACAGCACGCAGACGGCTATGCACTGCTCCTTGTTCATTTCTGGCATCGTCACAAGCCCAAGCAGCACGAAGTGCTTGCCATGCTGCCTCTACCAAACTGTTCTCATGTTCTATAGTGCGAAAATAAATATAAAAGAAATAGTATGATAAGACCAGGTAATGCCGTTTTAGTCTATTTAGATTTCTCTGTTCATTGGATAGGATTATACTTGTGTATACTTTATCAAACAGAGATATGCTGAATAGTTACTAACATATATAGGAAGAAGTCTATTGAATATTATTTGAGAGCATTTCAATAGGTTAAAAGACGATACAATTACATGCAATATCTTACCAAGTAAAATTGAGTGGCAAAGAAATTGATTTGCTAATGATGGATAATCATTTGAAGACAGTTGTGCTTGATAATCGGATGATTCAATGATTTCCTTGCGGGATACCTAAAATATATATAATAGACATGATTGAAAGTATGTAATATTGTTTTCCTTTTTTCTATTTTACTCCTTTTTGGTCGCTTATGTCATGGCTACAATAGCCACAATGCGAACAGTATTGAATCCAAGCAAACATCGTGTCACGTTTCATTGGCGGTGGTCTGTTCATATTAATAAAATTCGTATACGAGATTTCATCTTGTACAAAACAATAAAAATTGTCTCACCTCAGATCAAGATCAGGTTGTCCAAATGTTGTGTAAGACATTATTTCTTTTTGAGATGATGATTTTCCACAACAAGAACAAGTTTTGACTTCATCAGAAAACGTGACCATGGTGCTAGATATTTTTATGACGATATTTAGGAACTACTTTCACCAGTTATTGACAGAAAATGAAAAAGAAATATGTTGCTATTCTACCTTTCATTGATGACGTGTCCCAAGAAAAATGACTCACATTTATGTGTGAGAATAAAAGCAAAAATAATATCTAGAGCAAATTGCTCAATAGTTTAGAAATAACAATTCATCAATATATTTTCGAGATGTTTGAATTATATTCGTAGCAACAGAAAAAATGAATCCGTAGTTAAATTATTAATTTTCAACCAGCTTGATATTCTATCAACTTCTTTGACTTCTACTACTTCACGCATGAGTTAATAATGAGTCATCTTTTTTCGATTTCGACATAACGTCATAAGAATGTCAGTAGGATCTGCTGAGATCATCAACGCGATGAATGTGCATGTGAAAGATATCCTTTCGAATTCATTTTTTGTTGAAATATAATAAAATACAAAATAAAAGTATTGAGCAGATAAAATTAGCTTAACCTCTTGAATCCCGATAATTTCTTGCGTTCTGTATAATATGGATAAAAATAAAAAAATCACTCTCCCTTGCGTTCTGTCGCGTTCAATCAGCTGTATGTATATGTCACAGATTATCGATTATAAACATGGACTCGTAATGCCTTTATAGTGTGTTCTCAGGGGTGGCCCGACCGGGGGGGTGTCGGGGGTGAAACACCCCCCCAATCTTAGAAAAATTCTATTTTTTGCTCAGCAAAATCAAAAAATTTTTTTCCATTTGTCATGAAAAATAATGTTACACCCCCCCAAAATTAAAAAAATTCCACCTTTTACTGCAAAAAATTTCGCGACCCCCCCCCCCCCCCATTGTTGGTTGACTCGGGCCATCCCTGTGTGTTCTTGATACGACACGAAAGAAATAGAAACTATGTGGACCTTGAACAAGAGAAAACCTGATGAAAGAGACAGAATATTTGTAAGAAATCACTATATTCAAAATTTACAATGGAGAAGCGTAACGTTTTCGACGATAGCAGCGATAGTGAATACGAGGAAAAATCTATGGTGGCTTTATCAGATTCAGAAATTGATGAAGTGGAGAAACAATTAATCAATACGAATCTTCATTACGAGAGTGAAGAGTATAGGTAATAATTTGATTCTATTCAACACTAATAGACTAAAGCAAGATTTACTCTCTAGTGATGACGACACCGTCTATCCTTATGGCACTGTTGAAAAAAAGGATGAAGCTTTGTATAATGAAAAAGAAATTTATGATAGTGAAGAATATAGGTAAAGATCTCACTCTGTTTGATTTTTGGCAGATGAAAGTATTTTTGCTGTGTAGTAATGACGATGTTATATATCCAAATCGTTCAACTAGTTCCTCATCAAATTCAGGACAAAGTATCGATGGACAATGGATAATAGTTGAACCTGGAAATGACAAGATATCACGAGTCTTACCAGCTTTCCAAGAAAAAACTGGACCTAATTTTCCAGTTAGCTCTTGTCCTTCTTCAAATTAGATCTGAAATAAGAGATTTTACTAATCAATAAATAACTAAAAAAGGAATTTCGTTATTCAAGCATAATCGGAGAAAGTTTCTTTGTTAGTTTCTCGTATGTCAGAGTTAAAAAAATAATGATAAGCGCCATTGCACATATGACCTCTCCTCGATTCATTTTCTCCTCGCCAAACATATGTTATTGACACGACAGAACGAAAAAAAAATTCTTTCGTTCTGCTTGTCTTCAATTGAAGACAAGCGGGATTCAACAGGTTAACAGCTATAGTTGACTCATTTTAAAAATACTTTTCTCAGCAAAATCTGACAATTAGCAGCTTTATAGTCAGAAATAAAGTCAAAGTGTGATCAATAATATGACTTTCATACTTTAATTCTTTGTTTTGTATTATGATTTTCTTCCAGTATTTGGGAAAAAATTCACAATCTTTACGACCCAGGACGAGCAATCCGACTGTCCGGTTCCCTTTGGATCGGATTCCGATAGGAAGTTGTCGAAAAGTACCGGATCCGATGAGATCCTGCTAGATTTCTGTTAGTGAATCAAATATTACCTGCACCATGAATGCCTCGCTCATCAGCTGTTTACTTTACAATACATGAAATATATATATATATATCCAGCGGATTAGTCTGACCGGATATCCCAATTCTTTTTTGATTATGTTGTTTCTATAATGTGTCAGATATATAGGATTTTTTCTATCAATAACATGTACTATAACTGATAGAAAAACTCCTATATATCTGACACATTATAGAAACAACATAATCAAAAAAGAATTGGGACAGCCGGCCAGACTTATCAGCACCGTTCCATTTCGCTCGAATCTGCCCTAAATAACACAAACTGTTTTTTTTTTAATAAAATAATACTTACGTTTCCTTTCGATGTTGAGAGTACTCTAAAATATAGAAAAAATTCTTTAATTAAATAAAATACTTACTCTTCAATTTGGATGTACCAA